GGGGGGGGGGGGCAGCCACCACTGCCACAGAGGGAAGCACCAGCCTCCCCCCACCCCCCACCCTGAAGCCCAGTGACCGCTCCACCCACCGGCAGCTTGCCCTCCCCTCCCTGCCGCCAGAGGCAGGTAAGTTCAGATGTGTGCACAACATGGGGGTTTAAAGGGCGCTACATTGAAACAGGGTTTTTAAAAACCCACTGCTTCAATTTAGGGTCCCTGTTTCGTCTACACATGCCCTACAGCTCTAATACTGAAAACATGGCTATACTGCTTCTAGTCTCCAGCAGTCATTTAGCATTAATTTGAGTATCTCTGAACAGCAGTACCATAACAAAAGCAGTTCCAGTAGTGCACTACCACTGGATGTTGCAGTGCACTTGGGGTGCCTGCCACTTTAAGAGGTCAGGCAGCCTGCAAAGCTGCTGGCAGGTGTGGGCCAGGGCTAATGGAGAGTCAGCTGACCCAGGGAGCCAGCAGGTAAGGCTAAGCCTGATAGAGGAAGCCACCTGACTCAGAAGGAGGACAGGGCTTAGAGCAGATATTAACCAAGGCGCTGAGAGAAGCCAGCAGTAACACCTTGGAGCCTGCTAAGAAAATACCACCTCAGTAGGATGGCTGCAGCTGCAGAAGGTCAACACTTAGAGAAGTCTGGAGGTTTGGGTAGGAACTAAGGGAAGGAGGAGTTTTATATGGACCCAGGGAGGAGTCCAGAGCCCAAATTAAGGGGCTAAGACTGTGAGACCAGAGAGGGTCCAGGAGCCTATTGAGAGGCTGACAGTGTGGGACTAGAGAAGGCCAGGACTCCTCAGAGAAGGAGAAGAGGAAACAAGCATCAGTGAAAATACCATCTGTGAAGCACGGGGCATGGTGTAAGGGAGGAATGGAGCCACTAGCCCATAAGGCAGTGACCACAGGCACCTAGTGGTCATTTGAGAGAGCAATTTGGGAAGCCTTGGGGCAGCCTCTCTCATAAAAGTAACTGACATCAAGGCATGACAGGTGACTAGAAGGGTGACTGCCCACAAAGTGAGGGCTGCAGGGATTCTAGGGCCTTCATGGTCATCCCTGGAGAGCCACACTATCACACTGGGCACACCAAACCAAATGGTAGTAAAGTTACGTACTAGCACTAAAATGCCTGGCTTTGGCTCTGCTAAAAATTACTGCATTATGCAGCACAAATATAACACTCTACTACAAACTCTAATTAACTCACCTGAGCAAGTACAAACTGAAACATTTCGGAGACCTACACTTCATCCATATGTGGATGAATTTGGTTGTTGAAGAAGGGTTAAAGGCATTCCAGCACATACATCTGCCAAATTTTAAGCCCTTGCTCCAAAGAATAGAGTTACTAGAGCTTCTCAACAAAAGATTATAAGACATTTTTAGCACAGGCACAACTATGAATTATTCCACGTCCTCTTTTTTGGAAGCTATTGAACCACTCTGAACCATTTTAGCTGACACTTAACTGGGAACAGGGGAAAGGAAATAAGACAAAAATCTCATGTAGAAATTTACAGACCAAATTTTCAGCCCAAACTGAAGCAAATGATGAGAGGTTCTTATAATTTAGGAATGGTCATAGTACTTTAATAATAAGAATGACTGCTTGTGCAGCTGGCACTGCTATTATTACCATTGCTACTACTAAAGATATATTACAGTAAATAAAATTAAGTAAACTAAAATATGATAAAATAAAATATAATCAATGTTAATGCTGGAAATTTAATACAAGATGTTTTTAAAAATAAAAGGTCATTTTAACTCATGGATGGAACCGCTACTCAAAAAGTACACTAAAAAGTTTGCAATATCCATATACAATACTTTATCCCCAAATGGTTAACATATCACAAGTGACAAGAACAAGTCAGGAAGTATAGAGAGACTTTTATTGTGAGGACTTTAAAACACAAAGACACACACATACACATAAGAGCCTGGTTAGTTTACTTCAGCAATATATTAGTGCCTAAAGGTGACCTGATTTTTTTTTAAACTTCCTCATCATAGAAAACAAGAGCTAAGTAAGTTTATGTTACTGTTGTTTAAATTCTCCTAGCTTTTTTTTTAATAAAACATTAAATATATCAAAGTGTCAGCTCTAGTCTCCCAGCATTTTGCTTTACCAAACTAGAATTTAGGGACCAAGTATAACCCCTCCCATAATTTCATAATCATAGATCCATAAAGCCTCATAGTAGCATTACAATCACCTCATATGACATCCTGTATAACACATACAATAGATTTTCTATGTCAAGTCCTATATTCTGACTGAGCTAAAACATACGTGTTGGAAATATATCCAGCCCATACACTGGGGCCTTAGATTGTTGTGGAGGCCTTATATTTTTTATAAGAAACAATTTCATACCTGTAAACTTCTTTCTGTAAGCGATGCTGTCTCAAACTTTGAATAAAATCTGTATAGTATTCTTTATGTGCTTGCTTTTCTAGTTCTTCATAGTCAGTATATGCAAAATCTGGATCAACATAATGGTATCTCTCAGTTTTCGTAAAAATAGTCCTAAATATTTAAAGGGAAAAATAGTTTAATTATGTGTATAAATGATTTAAGGCTTTACTAGCCTTTGAAAAGATCGCTGATTTTGCTATATATATATTTTATTGGAAACCTATTTTATGTCACAGGTGAATATTAGTATTTGACTTTGTAAAGACAACCATAAAAACTAAATATAAAAAAAAAGGGTTATATGATCAGTTTCACATTAAAAAGCACTCAAAAGAAACTTATTAAGAAGTGTTCAGTCTAAACAGACAGCTATATAAAAACTATAGACAGCTATATAAAACACAGACAGCTATATAAAACAGACAGCTATATAAAAACACTATATTCTGAAAACAAAAATATACACTATTATAAAATATAGTTGATTGGTATTGATCTATTAATAAAATATATAATTAATATAGTTATCATGATGTCCTAGTTTTATCTTAAATTCTAGTGAATTGCCTCTCAAGAATAACTAGGGGAGAGGGGGACCGCAGCGACCCACCACCCTACGCCACCGCCACCTCCCAGGAAGCTTGCCTCGCCATCCCCTCCACTCCCCTCCTCCAGCACCCCATGCCACCACCACTATCCTTGCCCCCTCACTGGCCCTGCTCCTTGAAGGCAGTGGAGAGCCGCCATGATAGCAGGGATGGGGGGGTTGCGGAAGGCCATCAGTGCTGGCCTTGCCCCCCCGCTCAGTCCCCTCTGCACCCGCTGGCATGGCAGCGCTCCACCGCCTCTGAGGAGCAGGGCCGGGGGGACACGAGGCCACTGGTGCTTGCCTTGCCCCTCTGCTCTGTCCCCTCTGTCATGGCAACACTCCGCAATCACTAACCAATCAAAGTACTCCAAGAGCATTACAGACAGACAGACAGACTAAGCCCTTTATTATCTAAGAATTATACCCAAACCTTATATTGCATACATTACCTGTATTTTTTATGTCTTTCACTAGGCCTAATGCTGGCTGCGCGGTCATTAGGAAAGGCTATAAGTGCATCACTCTTACAGTTCCTATTTATTGTGTGCGTATGAATTTGTGTTTGAGCTGACTTAAGCATTGCCACTGGTGCAGGATCACTGTACTGTCCCATTTCATCAGCTATGAAATATCCAGTTGCATTAGAAATCATTGGTGTTATACCTTAGGATTGAAATAAAACACGTTTCATGAAATTAGGTTAAACATTTTAAAATGGGACGTTCAAAAATAATATTTTGTTTCACAAATATATATTTAATAACTTGTAAAAAGTAATACAATAAAATCAGATCTGAAAATGAAGGCTCCGATACATTTCTCTACTGGTTTTTTTAACGTATATTTACATTAACTTCAGTCAAGAAAGGCAAAGATGATGTTGTGACAATGGTGTTGACATAAGATGCAGAAGGGTTAGATTCAATTCCCAGTTATGCCACAAATTTTCCTTTCTGACCACTTCAACATGTACTTACGTTTATTCACTTGTGTAGCCTTATTTCAGTCAATCCAACTACTTGTGCTCCACATACACACCCCCCTCAAAAAGCCCTGTACCCCGCCAAGCAGCTTCAGCAGCAAAGGGTGGCTGCAGCTCTTCTCCCCACCCTGCTGTGCCATGGCCCTACTTGAGGCCAGGAGACGCACACACGCACACACACACACACCCTCCCTCCCAGCCCCAAAACCCCATACCCCACTGAGCACCAGCAGCATTGGCAGCAGTTTAGAAAGGCGGCAGCTGCAACTCTATTCCCTGCCCCACTGGGCCCTGTACTCAAAGGGGACAGCAACCGGCAGTAGCCGCTAGCTTGCTCTGTCTGCCCTGCCTTGCTGCCAGGTACCCTGGCTCTGCCAATTCCCATTGCCCCTGACTCCCAAGCCAGAGCCCCCCCAAGCCCTGCTGCTGCTTCTCACTCCCAACCCAGGTACCCCTGGACCTGCCAGTGCCCCTCACTCCCAACCTTCAATATTCTGCCCCTCTGAGCTATGCTGGTACCCCTCACTCCTAGGCAGCAATCTCCTGCCCCGCACTCCAGACCAACAGTCAGCCTCTTGCCCCTCACTTCCAAGCCACAGCTCCCTCCGTCTCCCAGCTGCCCCACCCCTGCAACCTTTTTCCCACCATGGGCTGCTGCCTAGAATCCAGCCACCTCCACAAGTTGAAGTCCCACACCCTGTGGTGATCAGATGCTGCAGCAAGAGGAACAGATAGAAAAAGGCAGGTACTAGGACCCTGGGGGTGTCTTCTCTGCTACAGCAGAGAAACTAAACTGAACTTGGTAGGTGCTAGGACCCTGCAGATATCTCCTCTGCCTCTCCCACCCTGCTGCAGCTGGGGGCCTGGATAGCTTCTCACAGTCCCTGCAGGCACCTGTCCCCTTGCACAGCTGAACTGCCAAAACCCCGAATATTTGATCAGATTTTTAAAAAATGCGCCAAGACAGATCTGAGGATCCAAAAACAGCACATGTCCAGCAAAACTCAGACAGGTGGTAACCCTACCTTGTATTAGTAATAAATATGCCTCAAACAGATATCCCATCACCAGCTCTCAGTGAAGTGGGAGAAGATAGCCCTTAGAAAAACGAATAGTCATCAAAATGGAAAGGCAGAGAGGCATTGGGACAGATAAAAGGTGTTTGGCCACTGAACTAAAGAGTTAAGAGATGTATTAGTATTGATTGTCAATTGATAACATTTTGGAAAACTGGAACTGGATAATATACCTACCATCAACAATTTTTTTTTTAAATACACTTTTCACCACAACAGCACCCAGTTAGTAAATGCCCATTCCCACATATTTCTGTCATAAAGGTATTTCATGTTTCTCAAACCAAACACTACAGGGAGAGGTGCATTACCGTGAAAAAGATGTTATCAACATTATCAAGATAAGCAGAGGGTGGAACCTTTGGGCATCTTTACACAGTACTTTATTTTTCCATGGGAAATTTTCCATTTCTAAAAATTCATTGTTTCATAACATTCATTAGTAACAATGAATGGATGCCAATAAAATATTATGCAAGCTTGGCAATTTCAAAGTTGTAATTACTGTTTTTCAGGTGAGTATTCCTAGGAAGTGTGAGAGAGAGTACATATATGTTTTATTGATTTGTAAACAGGAAGGTAAATACACTCACATAATAATCCAAACCAAAAATCAAGTTATGAATTCACCTAATTGACTGTGCAGATCAAATCAAAACCAAAGCTAAAATTCTTATTTCATCTCAGAATGCAAGTGAAAGCAAAACCAAAACTAAAACTGTGATTAATTTTTCTTTCACTTTCAGCTCAGCAAACATACGTCTTTTCTTGAGTTGGGGAAGTTGGAAGTGTTTTCATAAGATCTGTTAGTGTTTTCTTAGTGATTTGGGTTTGAAGTAGTCATAATAATGCCTAATGCAGAAAAAAATTAGTCTGTGGCATCATTATATTTAAGTTCAAGCCACTAAAGGAAGGAAGAAAGTTGGCAGATGGAAACACTGCAGGCAGGAGTATGCTAACAATGCAACAAGAATTAAGAAACATTTAATAACATGTAGAAACTGTCCTGAAAGAGTACAAGCCATACACAGAAAGCTAATACAATGAAATGGTGGAACAACATCATCTGAGAAAAGTCTACTTCAGGAATCCTATGTACGTAAACAAATGAATATGTTAACACAGAGAATAGACTAGCATCTATATTGTTTTAAAACATTCTAATTTAAGAAGCTGTTAATGCAAGATTAGACTATTATTTATTTAAAATATTTGTATCCTGCTTTTCTGCTTCCACTAAGCACCCAAAGTGGCTTAGGCTTAACAATATATATATATTTTTAATTACATAATAGATAAATAGTTAACTATTTCAATCCAGCAAAGTGAGCTTAGTCCTCTGACCAATGGCAGAGGTCAGACTATACTTCCCATTGGCTCTCCAGTCCCAGGGCAACTGAGCAGCAAGTTGAGCAGCGGAGTGTTCTTTCTGGCAGGGAGGGGAGAAGCAAGCTCCCTGCTGCTTCTTCTCCTTCTGATGGAATAGGCTAAAATAAAAATCTTTTCCCCCTTTTGATGCAGGAACTTATTAGCTCAAGTGAAATAGCAGATTTGCAAAAAATAGAAAATGTTGAGCTGCCACATCTGGGGAAAGAAGTAGGATCCTCGCTTTCATGATCAAGGTCACCAGATATGCAATCCATCATGAGTAGCTGTTCAAGACAGTCAAGCTTTTTAATCAAGCTTTGTGGACAAAATGTCAAAAGAAGATCAAGAAAAAGCTGATGAGACATTAGCTCAAGCTATATTTGTAAGTGGTACACCTCTTTCCATAACTGAAAATCAATACAGGAAGGAACATTACAAACTAATTCACCCATCTTATATGTTACCATCATGTTATCACTTATCCTGTTCTCTCTTAGATAGAGAGTATGACAGAGTTCAAACAATGGTTATTCAAAGGATTGATAAAGCAGAATCACTGACTCTGATGTCAGATGGATGGACTGACATATAAGGAAATCCTTTATTGAACATTATATTAGCAAAACCTAAACCAATATTCCTGAAAGCAATTCTT